AGATATGAAATTTGTTTTTTGATTATTAAGTAAATATGAAAGAATGTTGGTAGGATAAGAAATTTGTTTTTTGATTTAAAAGGAGAAATTCTTTTGACAAATCAATTTCAATTTAGTATGGTACAGTAATGTTTCTTATTTTTACATATCTTCATACTTGTATTTTTTATTTTTGTCTTTGTCAATGAAATTTACTCCGATCCTTCATATCGTTAGTCATGATGTATGTATGATAAATATAGTTGCATACTTGTCTAGTCTAGGAAGATATTAGATTATTACATGCCCTCGTTAGAATTTTAGTAAATGTGTATATATCAATTTATTTCATGACTTATAATTTAGTAAGATTGCATTTATTTATCAGTAGATAGAAGTAAAATGTTTCATAAGAAAGTATATGATATGAAAGAATGAAGTAATGCATATATGAATGCTTGCATGCCCATACTAAGAAAAGTTCACCCCCTAATGGTATAGAAAAGGGACATCAGTGTACCTGCTCGCGTTGATGTTATCCTTCCACCCTAGAGAATTGTGATGTTTAGATTGTTAACGGTTGTGCAGATTAGAGAATATCGACCAGAGGCGTATGGGCCCCTTTTCACCTCAGACAGTCGTGTAAATAGACGTGGGCATTGGGCAGGCGACCCGACAGACATGCTATAAACATGCTTTGAATGGGCGGGATTGACTATGAAAAAATAGAAATTTAGTGGGCTTGGCACGCTCTGCTTCAAGCCTGTCACGCACAATAGCCAGGTCTCATAATTATAGTTCGCGATTGCAAGTTTTAGAGGCGTTTATTATTTTTTTTTTGCAACATACATACTCAACTACTATGTATTTACATGTCGAGGTACTTCTCAGTTTAAAATTTTATATATTAAGTGTGTGTACACTTGCTATTAAATTCACCTGAATGTATGAGAAAAAATTTGTTTATATAAAATCAATTTAAAACTCTTACCACAAGTTCTTTCAACCGTTCATATTACTTAATTTTTTAATATTTTAAATCAACAACCTATGATGCAATTCAACGTTAATTAAAGCAAGCATAAAAGTTAATTTTTTGTTCATGTATGAGAAAAACTAACACTACAAATTGGTAGAGCTAACTTTCTTTGTATGAAATAATAATAATAATTTAGAGGCTCATTCAAGTTAAATTTAAGCAAAATTATCTTGATTTATTTTTCCCTAATTAAGGGAAATGAGAATGAGTTTTTGTATTAAAAATCACTTCTTTTAAGGCCCACTGGTGGCCCGTGGGCCGGCCCAATCTATTTAATGGGCGGGCCTAGCTATGAATTTGTAAATAGAAACTGGGTTCAAGCCCAACCTGAACCTGCTTTGACAGGTTAAAGCCCGAATAGGCCTGACCAATGCTAAGCTCGGCTCGCCCAATGCTCAAGTCTACATGGGAAGTAGATTACGAATCGCTGTGTCGATTGGATGATATCGGTCAGAGATGTGTTAGGTTATGTTTTGACGGTGCTCCTAAGATAAATGTGAATATTAAGAGTATGAAGTAAAAATAAAGTTAAATATTAAATTTCGTGCTTATAAAAATTTAAGTTATTTTCTTTTAAGTGCATGTCATTGATACATACATTAGATTACTATAATATTTTTATAGAAATATGAAAACCAATATGTATATTGTTTTATTCTCATTGGGTTATTGTAGTTTAGATGTTTGATTGCTCCAGAGTTATCTTTAGATAACTCATTATGTTTTAACATTTTTTTTTTCAAATTTTAAGCTTTTGAATAAGATTTATAGAAGATGAGTTAATGTGTACATGAGGCGAGAATAACAACCAGAAAGATAAAAAATTTACTTGTTAATTAAATTATTTTTCAGCGGCACTTTCATGAATATTTGAATATTGAACTGTTAGTGATAGAAATAGAATATCAAAAAATTTAATTCCTTCGTCCGACCATCCGTTTATGTCTTGGTTAAATTCAAGCCTCGGGCGTGACACTTTGACATCAAAATCAAGATCCTTTTTGACAGGAACGTAAAATCCATACATGAGATAATCTATGTAGATGTTCAAAATAGGAGCACAATCATTTTTCTATGTGGTTGCCAAAAAAAGTGTAAAGAATTTTTTTTTTTGTGAACCTTTTGCATGTGTTTTCTTTTGCTAGCACTCTATTCTAGGCTTGGGTAGAAGCTCAATTAATATTTATTTTCCATTTTTTTTATTTTTGTCCTTTTCTTTTCTTTCGTTGTTTACAAGTGATGTTTCTTGTTGCAAGTGCTGGTTTAGCCTGCGTAAATCTTTTTCCCTATTTGATCTCCTTGGAAGCTTTTTGCAGTTATTTTTTGGGACAATTGATGTATTTAAACATTTTATTTAGATGTTTTCATAAGCATCTGAATTAAAATGACATTGAACATGAATCCATAATGTCATCAAGTTATGGGTTTTGCTTATGTTTCCGATATTCTTTATCTTTCCAAGCTATCACTAGTAGTACGGTTTGGCAGCCTATCTCCTACATTATCCTATTTTGCTCATAGGCTGAATCACGCCTGCTTTAGTTAAAAAGAAGTTTGGATTTTTTTTCCCTAGCATCTTTGATGTTGCCAATGCTTGGTCAAAACTCACACATCCGGTTAACAACAAAACTTGGTTGATTGGGAACTAATGAGTTAAGGCAGATTGGGAACTAATGAGTTAAGGCAGAAAATGTTCTATGCTCTTGGAATTGATATTGTGAGTGCCATCAATGGGAAAAATGTGAGACATGATACTTCTATTTCATGTACTTTGGTTAAAGACTGGTGGGAATCGGCAAAATTTGGATTGCATTAGTCTGCTTTCCCTTTTGGCTTTCTTTGCTCAACCCATTGTTCAGGACGCTTCATATTGTCAGTTTATGTGCAACAATGATCGATGATAGGAAGATTTCCTTTCATACCACTCAATGCTTTCGTACTTACATATCTAACATGTAAACTTTAATTTTTACATGTATGATTCACTTAAAATTTGAATTTGCAGGAAACAATGATCCATCCATCCCTGGAAGAGACGGTCCTGAGCAATCCGATCCTGAACATGGTGGATCAACATCTGATGATCACCCCATTAAACCTAAGAACATTTTGACAGATTGGAGAGATTTTAGAGCAAGTCTTGTTGCTCTGGAGCAGGTAAGTTTTTATAACCCAATGAAACAATTTTCTTGGTCTTAGATATCTGAATTCTCTAAAGAAATTCTCCCATCCCACTTACATTTATGGAGGCAACATCGCTATAAAGCAGTAAATTAATTTCAATAATTTAAACAGAATTAACCTTTCTGGGACAAACTACACCCTTTCTTTCAAGTATATATCTGTCATGGTATTGGACACCTGACATGTTCAGATATCTTCATTAGCTGATGGCTGTCATTCTCTTGATTATTATGGCTTTTATTACATACATTTATTGTCTGCTTGTTCATGCTTAACTCAAATGATCGTCCGTACATCCGAGGCTGTTTTTTGAATTGAATTCGCCTACAATTCATTTCGTTGGACCTTTTAAATGCATACACCCAATTCCTATGTATTTACATATCTAACACCTAAAATATATTTTTTACTAGTAGGCCACCCCAATCTTTCATATCACATCTAAAACTGCACCATTTGAACTTCTAAAATGTGAAATACGCCTTTTCATGCATAGTTAAGGTGTCGTGTGTAAAAAATCAAAGTTTGGGTGTTAGATATGTAAATGCATTGTAATTGAAAGGTAGTTATGCAATTCTTCCTTTGTTTTTTTGGTAATCTCTGCAAATACTCACTAAGTTTTTCAACTTAATTAAAAAATTCAAACTTCCTTCCATGTTAAGCTTTCCAATTACGAATCACTGAGAAATCATACAGGTGAACTTACTAGGTTCTGATTCTCCCACACACGATAGCACAGCCCAACCGGTTAGTTCAAAATGGGCGCACCCTCTCCCAACGCCGGAGACAGGTTGTGTCCTGGTCGCCACTGAAAAGCTCGACGGTGTTCGCAACTTCGAAAGAACTGTAGTCCTTCTTCTTCGATCCGGTACCCGAGACCGCCAGGAAGGTCCCTTCGGCGTCATCATCAACCGTCTGCTCAACAAGAAGATCAAGCATATCAAACCTTCAAATCCCGACCTCGCTTCCACATTCGCCGACTGCTCGCTCCACTTTGGTGGACCTCTCGAATCTAGCATATTCCTGCTCAGAACTGGAGAATCCTCACCATTGCCGAACCTGGAACAAGTGATCCCAGGAGTTCGTTTTGGCACTCGAAACAGTTTAGACGAGGCGGGGGAGCTGGTGAAGAAGGGAGTACTGAGAGCGGAGGATTTCAGGTTTTTCGTGGGGTATGCGGGGTGGCAGTTGGATCAGTTGAGAGAAGAGATTGAGTTGGGCTATTGGGTGGTTGCGGCTTGTAGCTCTAATCTTATCGCCCGAGCTTCTTCGGATGCTTGTTTAGGGTTGTGGGAAGAAATTCTGCAGCTCATGGGTGGGAAGTATTCGGAATTAAGCAAGAAGCCGAGGCAAGATGGCTCTTAAGCAGGATTTTTTGTACAGATTTGTATAGGATTTGAAGATCTGAGTTTCCTGCTGCATAAATTTAAGACTGTAGAGAATCTAATTAGTAAAATTCAACAAAGTATGAGAGGGCTGATGTTTTTTTAAATCTAAGGATTTGATGGAGAGAATGAACATTTTAGATATGTTGTTTCTTTTACAGAACTAGTACTGCTATGTGGTTTGACACAAGATGCTCATTTTTTTCTACATTAGTTTGAAATCTGATTTAGATGTGAATTTGATGTGGTTCAGATAGTTGAAGAACTGATCTTCATAGGTTCGCCGAGTCAATTTAATGCCTTCTGTATTAATGGTAGATCAGACAATGAGGGTGATGAAGTTATATAGGAATAAAATTTAAAAATGGCTGCAAATTTATCTTCAATTAAATTAGATGAAGTTGTTAATGCATGTCTTTACAAATTTGTTAAGGGATAGACTCCATTGGTGCCAGAGTTAGTGGAAGGGTTGAGCATTTTTATTATACATCAATGTAAATAGCTTAGAGAGTGATTTTAAATAGGGGTGTTTAGCAACATACTGTGTAATTCTTATATATTTACATATTTGACACCAGAACTTCACTTTTTTTTACATTTATACCACCCACCCAAATCTTTCATATAACATAATAAAAACACCACCACTTTAACTTCTAAAAAGTTGAATACATTCTTTTATGCATGGGTAATGTGGCATGTATGTGAAAATTGAAGGTTAGTTGTTATATTTGTGTAAATACACAGGAATTGAATGGCATGTATGTAAATCTTCCTTTTTTATGCATAGGTCTTGTGGCATTTATGTAAAAATTGAAGATTAGTTGTTAGATATGTAAATACTCAGGAATTGAATGGAATTAAAACCTAATTGATTTAAGAAATTCAATTTAAGAATGTAAGAAAATCTCTGATCTTAATAAATACTATATTGCATAAGCAAAATGATATAAGTTCTGCTCAACTTTTCTTTAGGAGTTGTTCTACTTGTTTTTAAAAAATGTCTCCAGTGGCAACGATGTATGGACATTATCCTGCAAAATGTTCTGGTGATTAAACAATCACATCAATGGAGAAGATTGGTAATTGATGAAGAAACAAACAAAGATAATCACTTTCGAGATTTTAGAATTATTCTTGAACGCTTGCTTCGATGCTGTAATGTCAACTTGAATCTTTTAAATTGCATATTTGATATGATTTCTAAGATGTTCCTTTAATTTCTAGTTTGGCTCATGGTATTGAAATTGAGTTTGCCTAAACTTCAACACTTACATGTTGAAGATTCTTTCAAATGTGATTAGAATATCTCAATCATTTCATTTTATATATTGAAATGAGGTGTCAACAATTTGTTATATTTTTGAACAAAATGCTAGATTTAATTGGGATCAAAATAGTTAGAGAGTGTTTGGAAGTATTAAGTTTTATATGATATATTTGTTCGTTATATTGGCACCTATACCAAGAAAATTATTTGTTTTTTTTTTTTTTATGAAAGGATGTATTAGATGACCCTCTTGTTGCCTGCCCTCTTAGTGCAATTAAACTAGATGAAGGCGTTCCACCCACGACGCAGAAGCGCGTACCACTACCTTGGATGATGTGGACTCCTAGATGATGTGGACTCCCAGATGATGTGGGAGTAGCATTTGTGACCTTGGAGGACACGGGATTTCAAACATTGTGACTTGGACCAGTCCACGAGGGCCGATCAACTCTTTGTTTACTTGGATTTTCCTCCTATTGGGAGTGTGATACATTCTTATTTACCCTAGGTTTATAAGTATGTTGTTATCGTATTTTAGGAGGAGCATTTTTTGTGTTTTCTGTCAAGATAGTCGTCATCATCCCAATTTTACTTTTGGGTTATATCCTATGATGAGTTGTGCTCCTGCTGTATATTGTCCGAGGTGGTGACTGTTTTCGACCTTTCCTCTCCTCAACCGACCATCGTTGTATTCGCTGCAACCACACAAAACACAATCTCTTTGCTATTTTTTTAGTCACCTACCACCTGGCTCCCTCCCACCTTGTTGTTATCCCTCACAACAGCATTCGAGCACCTAACCAATCCCTTTCCTGGCACCTATTTGCTCTCCCAACCTCACAGGTTCCCTTCCCTTGCATCGTAGATGTTGTCACGACCTTCTCGAACTAGCTCCCTACTTAATTGTTGTCCCAACCTCCCAAAATCCCTTCCCTTGCATTTTACCTGTTCAAGCTTCACTAAACCAGTTTCTTGCCAGCTAATCGTTGTGCCAACCCCGTACAACCTCCCCACCGCAATCCCAACCCCAACCTTCACCATGTCGCCGACCAGCACTCCCCTTCCCCTTTCCGGTCGCACCCATGTCCAACTCCACCTAATTGTTTGTATCTATTGTTGTATTTCCCTTTCAAGACCATTTGTTTGTAACTATCTTTTTCCTTTCATTAATAATATTTACTTTTCTTATCATAGTTTGGGTTAACTCCAATATCATTGGTATCAGAGCTAGCTTAACCCTAGTCCTATCCTAAGTTTTCTAGCATTCACCATACCTAAATCTTATCTCTACCAAAAATTTTTCTTTTTCACCTTGTATCACTCTTACACAACCCCTTCACTCATGCCACCAATGAGACAACTACTGGAAGTCTGATCAAGGGGAAATGACATGTTGTTGTTTATGAGAAATTCATAAAAAAATGTCGAGTGGATTTTTAAGGAGGATGTGTTGTGGGAAACCCACCAACTATTACAAAGGCTTCCCAAATTCGAGAGGAGGCAATCCAGACGGGTCACCCGTAGCCTCAACGGTGACTTGCTAGATCGAAGAAATAGAGTGAATTTATTCCATCATGCAGATTCCGGGGATAAAAAATCTCAAACCTTGAAGATGTGGCCTGTGAAATATCTAAAAATTCAGAATTTTGAGATAAATGTGGATTTGTCATATTTTGACGATCACATGGATCCAAACGAGTTCATCAAGTGGTTCTAGACCTTGGAATGTGTCTTTGAGTGTCAAGACAACCCACTAGACATTGTAAAACTATTCACTAGCAAGTTAAATCTGAGTGCATTATTATGGTGTCAAAGTTTAAAGTACCTGCGCCAGCATGAGGGAAAAGATAAGATTACCACCTGGTCCGAGATGAAATGGGAGATGCAGCATCTGTACCTATTAAATCACTATATACCATATGTTAGCTGACTCTGCCAGAGAAGACACTAGTTCGGAGTGGAAAATAATTGGAAGTAAACAACTTCCCAAATTCGTCCCCATCAGAAAGTGTTTCAAGTGTCACAAATTTGGGCATATCAAGATTGCGCAACCAAGGGAATGATCTATTTCACTGAGCAGGGTGTTGAAAAAATAGGTAATGACAAAGTTGACATTGAAGAATGTGATGACACGAAGGAGGAGCATCGACCTCTAACTAATGAGAAAAAGATGCAAGTAGTTTCAACTGAGCCCATTAGAGTGACTCCAATGGAAAAAACAATGATTGTTCAACATAGTTTTTGAGTTTAAGGAACCGATATCAGGGCATGAGAACCTCAAATAAGAGAAATTCAAACTTTTCAGGTCTATAATCTTTCTTAAATTGCCCCTACTGAGGGAGCTACAACATTTCAAAACTGAGGCTGTTTTGTGCCATGTTGGGAAGATTAGATAGAATTATTTTGATATTAGATTTAGTTCAATAGTGTGCCCACCAACTGGTGTCTAGAGAGGAGGGATGTATCGCAACTCTAAAAATTATCTTAGGAGCTGATGGGGAAGACAATTCTTCAATGGGTTTCAGGTTCTATTAAAGAAGAGGTCCCTTCTGAGTGGTTATTGAGAGTTGTCCAACATTCCATAGATTTTATCCCATAGTCCTCCAGACAGACTTATTTATCAGATATATTCAACCGAGTACGAGAAGTGGGAGAAGCAATTTATATATGTGATGGCTTGAGACCTAATTCATAAGATTACTCATCTATTTACAGTTCCAGCTCAGGTTGTGCCACAGGAGGACATCCATCTATTATATCATGATGTTATTTGGAATGGCAACACATGCATGATTGACTTAGTGAGAGATTGTAACAATTTCGCTATCTTCAACGGGGTCGAGTTAACATCATATGAGAAGAAGCTAGAAGCTTCGACAGATGAGGTCGAAACTCCCCCAACAACGGGAGATTGATGCATGCTTCTCATCCATAACGCGAGACAATGCTAAAGTCGTGTCCCGTGACAGTGGATGACTCGGGTGTCCCACCAACGATGCATCATGATGTTGGAGTCGGGTCCTGAGACAGTGGACGACGTGAGATTTTTCATCATTCGTGGCTTGGACCGATCCATGAGGGATCCATGAGGGTCGATCAACCCTTGTGTTACATGGATTTCCTTCATATTGGGAGTGATCGACTTAACGTCATACGACAAAAAGCCAAAAGCTTCGATGGATGAGGTCGAAGCTTCCCGAACCACGGGAGATTAACATAGGCATCACACCATCGATGCGGGACAACGCATAAGTCATGTCCCATGACCTTGGATGACGCGGGTGTTCCGCTCGCAATGCCGCATCCTAGCTGTCGTCCCAGCCTTCCCAAATCAATTTCCTACCACCTAATCACTGTCCCAACCTTATGGAATTCCTTACCCCGCATCCTAGCTGTTGACCCTACATCTCTTCCTGAATCCGTGTTAGTTACCTTACTTCCCTCGCTCTTACTCCAAGGGCATGTTGACTTGAAATGTCCATTTTTTTAAAACATTTAAAGGATAGTTTTCTTCTCACCTATAATCTCAATTTTAAATTTATTTTGAAAATTCTAGGAATATTTTTTTAGTTTTGCTTTTATTGAAGCTTTTTCATGGTAATCTTCCTAACTAGTAGATATGTCATGACATGCCATCCTCATTGTATTGTATCAACGTTGTCTCAAGTCTTTATTTGGTAGCTTCTTTTTGAGATTATAAACGGGGCATAAAGTTGCGGTCTGTAAAATGATATTAGTGTTTGTATTAAAAAAAAAATTGTGTTTTATAACACAATTATTTATAGCTTTTTGTAATATAAAAGACTATAACAACTTTAATATGTTTCAATTATAAAATATCATATCTAATACTATTAAATTACTTATAGAAAATAAAATTTAAATAAAAATAAATTTGATAAATCCGGACTTATCGTAGCATGGTATTCGGTTCAATTAAGATTAAATTCATTTAATTGGTTTGACATATTATATATATTATTTCAAGATTTAACATTATTTAAGCTTTAAATATATGAACTATGAAGTATGAGGCCCATATCATATTAATTTTTAAAATGCTAAAACATTTTTTTTTTTCATGATGTCTGATATAATCTTCTGTGGATGAGAGCTGCTATTGATACCCGAAAGTAATTCAACATGGTCGTCAAGTACAAGAAAATTATTTCTTTTTTCAAGAAAAAAAATATCCCTTTTTGACGCGCCATTAACATATATTAATTATGTAATATGGATGTCAAGCTATTTTTTGAGCAAAGAATACTTGAACTTCAATTCAAAATAATCTGGAACTCAGATTTCAGAAAATTTATAGTCAAACTGATCGATTTGATGAGACAAATACAATGACACCAAAGTTCGTCTAATTTGGGTCAAATTAAGCTTAGATCGAGTCGTTAAGTCATTTTTTGAAGTTTCTAATGCTCAATTGAAAGTTGAACTACATTTGAAATTTGATAAGCTTATAGTCAAATTGAGTATCTCAATAAAACGAAATCAAGAAGACTAAGTTCACTCAATTCTGGCATCTCTGAGGCATTCAAATGTTCACAAAATATCATTTGATCAAGGAAATTTCTTTGGGTCATTTGATAGAGCGAAAATGATTCTTTTCTTATTTCCAAGGAGGTCTCTCCCATATGCTATAAATAGAGTTCTTGTCACCTTCATGAAGAAGGATCTAGACCGTGAAATAGTGGAGATTTGAGCTTGGAGGAGCATTAGGAGTTAAAGTCTGGTGTTCTACACGAAAGTTCCAGCGAATGCTTCCAGCTTATGTAGCTGTCGTCCACTATTGACCATTGTTTGGTGGCCACAATCAAACATTGTCGACCAATCTTTGCTCATCTCTAACGAAACCCCTTACATTGTCACGGTGTACGCTACAGAGTAACGAAGCACCATGTAGAGTAACAATTAGCTTGGTGTAGTAACGAATCATCCTACGTATTAACTCATCCCCAAGGCAGTATGCAAACACATCTTGAAAATGATGCAAAAATGTCCCGAAGAGGCAACATGTACCTATTATACAGTGTAGCAACGTGCCCCGAATCTGATGCAACGACACACTCAGTGCAATGACGCCCCTATAATATATGTTGGGGACTACTGCCTTCATAGCAATTGATTACGGTCTTTGCGGTCCGTTACAACTATTACTATTGGACTATCGTTATACATTAACTTTGTAAGTTCATCTTCTCTAATTCAAGAGGTGAGTGAGTCTATTTACTTCCAATAGCATATTAGATTCTTTCAACTGAGTTATACTCCATGATTTCTTTTCGATTTTCAGAGTTTTCCACATAACAAGTTTATATGTCTCTTCTCACTACCTACTACTTTAATTACTTGAGTGTGTGTTAAATTTTCATGCAGCACTAAGATACTAATCTTCAGGCGCACAACAATTTTAATAAAAAAAAATTTTGCACTAAAGAAGTTGGGGAGAAAATGAAAAAAAAACTAGGATTTCACAATGGATATTATACTAAACAACCTGTCTCTCCAACCTTTAAGGATACATTTATATGTGGAGCTTAGGTTGGTGCGAGTTGTATATGAGTGATCAATTATGATCAATGAACAATTAATTGGGCTCTTCTAAGGTGGTAATTCTTAATTGACTCCTTGCTAATGGGCCTTTTTGATGTGAAGTAGCTCACCTGGGCCGAGTTCTGGTAGTAGGCCCACCTCTTATACTTGTGTGATTGTGGCCTCCATCTTTAATCCATAATGATATGCCACATGATAAAGTTTTGACAAAAGTTCAAATAAAATATTAAAATAACTTAATTAAACCTTTTTTAAAAGTTGTTTTAATAAATTATTTTTATTTTACTTTTAGATAGGAATATTTACATACATAGCAAGCAATTCCTATGTATTTACATATCTAACATCAAAATTTTAATTTTTACATATGTACCCCCTTGTATATGCATGCAACTCCCTTACTACATGATTAATTGGAGTCACGAGAACAATCCTTCACCATGAAGACAAGTATATGTACCATTAGGCCCCACAAGTTTGGGACCCACTCTTAGGGTCCATGAATTTGATTTTATGAGATGCTTATGATGAGATAGTGGGTCCCAATTCCTATGTATTTGCACATCTAATGCTTTAACTTTAATATTTACATTTGTACCATCTCAGAAATACTAATTTTTAACTTTTTTTAAGAAGTGAAATACTCATGTCCATGCACACGTAAGATGACATGCATGTATATATATATATATATATATCGATATTTGGCAGAGGCCTAAATATCGATTTCTCATATGCAATCCGGCCCCCATGATAAGAGCCCGCATTATGTGCCATAAAATTCCCAACGCACCACAGTAGGGATCGAACCCTTGCCAAAGGGGACTTACACACACACACACACACACACACACACACACACACACACACACATATATATATATATATATATATAAATGTTAGAAATTTAAATACAAAAGAATTAAATGGCATGTATGATAAATAAAGCATAAATCGAAATATTTTAAGAAGATTAGTGATCCAAGAAATTTTTGATGTGATGTAGAAAAACTTAGAGTGAATAAAAATATAAGAATGGTGGTATTTATGTAAATACCCTTTTAATATTTTGAAATAAAGGCGGTAAAGCTTTGGGAAATTTAAGGACTGGAAGTTTATCCTAGATTAAAAATTTAATTTTTTATTGAACTTAAATTACATATTTTGGCATAATCACATTTGAGCTTTGAAAATTAAAAGTCTAATTTTGATGCACCCAATAATAATTAGAAATTAGACAAATCGTACTGATAAAATACAAACTAAAGATAAAAAAAAAACTGTAAATTTGCAATTTAATTCAAATTACAATTTTTTTTTCTTATTTTTAAATTTAATTTTGGCATTATATATAAGCTATTAAATGCCTACTAAAATTAAATTTGGATGATTTAAATTTATAAATTTTAGAAGGCTCTCCAATACACTAGAAATGATGTATATTTGGAAGAACCTAAAGTATATAT